TAATTAAATTAAAATTAAAATCAAAAGTCAATACTATAAATTAAAATAATTCGTTATATAAATCAAATGTGTAAAATTTGAAAAAATTTTAATAAATATTTATATTTTTTATGTTGATATTTTTAATAAAAATATTGACAAAAAATTTATTTTTGATCAAATTTAAATTATAAACAGTATTTAAATTTTTTTTTTTTACATATTATTAATTTTCACATTAAATTCTATTAATTTATCAATTTAAAATTTTTATTAAATCATTTTTAAAAATAATTTCATAAACCTCACCTCCATATAAGTTTTGTCCGTTCTTACAGTGCAATATAATTTATAAACCCAAAAACATAAAAGCAAAGGAGTTGTATACTTTCATGCCGCTTTATGCAGTAATGCAGTTAGGGGAAGCTTGGAAGCTGCTTCAGCCTTTGTTGGACCAAAGCAACACTTCCCAGTTCCAAACACCAATAACTTTCACGAAACAATAACACCACTGCCATGCACGTCAGCAAATATGGCCTTCCATCAACCAAGGTGAAGGTTGGTTCAAAATTCATTAGGACGAGATTTGTTTTAAATACTTTCTTCTTTCTTAGCGCTATGTTTAGTGGATCCGATAGTATTTTCAATAGGTTCATAACAGTCTTGGTAATACAAGGAGTAACTTTTTGAAGGATGAATGAATTGTTGAACTATTACTGTATTTGCAGCGCCAGATTCATAGTTTTTTTTTTTTTTTTGTGTTCATTCATAATTTTGGGGGATGTCCAATTTATAAGGTGGATCCGCCTATGTGTATTTGTTTGTGAAACCAAAGAATTTTGCTGTGGGATTCACTTTGAATGCAACTTTAGGGGTGATCTTGGTTGGTTTCTTGTTCAAGTTTTCACATTGTATGTACCGGCCTTAATTCTATTCATGTGCGGCAGAGTTTCAAATATTGAAGACACAGCTCAATGACATGTTATCTTCTTTAGTTGCTCTTGTCCGACAATATCGTTTTTTGTGAAGTGAAAGGAAAGGCAATAGGAATATCAAACTTGACTCGGTTTTGGGGACACAGGAAGGGAAAACCGTGGGGGGGGGGGGGGGGAGGATTTGTCAGATGATTTTGCTTTTTGTAGAAAACCTAAATGATCAGGCACAGAATCCCAGGAAAGCATAAAAAGTACTAATATCAGGTAACAGGGATTCCTGCCAGCAAGCCCTCTGCTAAAGCAGTTTAATTACATATGCCTTTATTCAATAACCAAGTTCAAACTGCAACTATTTATCAGACAGTAGAATTTGGCCTAAGCTATCTGAAATGTAATCAATCCAAGTCCACTTCTAACAGGCAGCTTAAACTTAACCATATTTTCTTTATACCAATCTTTTTTTTTCATCTCCACTTACACGTGATGAAAGTATGTTAAAACAGTATTATTTTATATTTAATATTTAATATTTTTTAATTTATATTTTAATTAGATCTCTCTATTTATTATTAATTGATTTTAAGTTAGATATTTAACATGATATCAGAATCAGAATTTTTTTCTATTACTCTTTTCAAATCTGTCATATAATAGATTTTTTTCATCTCTGTGATTAGAACCGTTAATATGATGTTATCCCACATTTAATGAATATATAATTTCTTATAGTTTTATATTCAAATTAGTCCATCAACTTACTATTAATTGATTTTAAATTAGATGCTTAACAAAATTAATATCAGACAATAAACCAATGAATTATTAACTTGGTGATATTGAAGTTAACTCTAAGATTGAAGGTCTCAAGTTCGAACCCAACTATAGCTCAAAAAACAAAATAAAATAAAATAGGTTTTTTCTTATCTTGGGCAAGGTATTTCACTAAGGTTTTATCAGAAAATTTTCTCATAAAACAGAGCTTGAATGGTGCTAAACTACACTGAATTGTAATGAGATAACAAAAAGGTTGCAATAAAATAAAGATATTTGCCGGTGGTTATTGACAACAAGAGCTACAACAGGCTTTGCTACAAACACATCAAGAATTTACCTTTTTACATATACGGAAGTATGGCCCGATACAGCAGCAAGTGCAAGTGGGGCATGAATGTCCCTCGCAATTGTTACACTTGAGACAAGTTGTATTCTCCAAGCAGCAACTACAATGGAAGCATTGGGATTTGCATGATACACAGCAAGTGAAAATGCTAGGCATCTTTAAGTGAAACGTGCAACTAAAACAACAGTAGATGCAAGGGAAAATACAACTCCTTTCCCTGCTCAAGATTAGTGCATATAACTTTAGACACTTGCCTTGGATCATGCTACAAGAAATGAAGAAAAGCATTCATTCGAAGGTATATACGGGAAAGCCTTTGTATAATATATGTCATATCACTTAAAGACTGTTATTAACATCACAATAAGAAAGTGAGAATCCATTCATTTTACGTGCACTATTCTTATGTTAATGTCAGTTCCTGTATCATAAACAACTTTACAGTACATAATTTTACATCCTTTGAATTATTCTTTTTTTTTTCCTAGTACAGAAGCAAATGTTACCATAGTAAAACTGAAACATAAAAGAGGAGAATTTTATAATCTAGAGCATCCAGGAGTAAGAAGAAAGTACCTTAGTTGCTTACAGGATTTGCGGATTTTCCTAGTTCTGGTAAAAGAAAAGGATGATGCAAATTTTAGTAAGTATGAGTGGAGTTAAAGAAGAAGAAATGAAGAGAGTTTCAAAGTATGCAATTAGTTACTAAAGGATTTTGTTTAGCCCCAACAAAGTCATCAACCCTGTCAATTGGTAGATTGTTCAGAGTCAAATGCAATCCGAAAACTTTATACTTACATGCTTAAGAATGGACAGAAAGATAAAGCGTACGTTACGATCCGACTAATTATATAGCACTGACATTTACAAGATAAGGACTTTGGACATACTCTTTGCAGTATCTTGAAGCAGGTTGAAGGCCTTCAACCAATTTTAATTCTTCCTGATTGCATGAAAATACAAATAAGTAGCTAGTCATATATAACATTAATCTCTTTGTAAGTAAATTTGGTTCTATTTTTTAAGGTATCCCACAACAAATGTACAATCGAAAGAATTGCTTTCATAAATCTGTCATTAGCACCAACAGGAGAGTTAAGCAGACCTGTTATTGTCTTCCATACTTCAAAGAAAATAGAACAAGGGATATAAGACCGTTATATCCTATTACTGTTTACAAAAATTTTCTATGGACACAGGAACACAGGACATTACAAAAGTACACAATGGAATTCCTTTCATTGCTTAGATAAATTTCAAACCATCAATCGTTAGTGTCAGTTGTCATTAAATTTCGGAGGAAATAGTATCCAGATTTCCAAAAGAACAAATGGTGCAGCCAGAAGCACTGAGAAAATTTATCGAAGAAGACCCTTTTAATTTTTGACTAAAAACTCTTCTAATTAAGAAATTAACCGACCAAATATAAGCAGTCAAAAGAAACAGAAAAGTTTGCACGCTGAAATGCAACTGGAAGCAGAAATCGAAGAAAATGAAGGCACCTGAAGCAAACCAATCTCTCTCTCCAAAGCCTGAACCTTAAACATCTGTGTCCGCTTCCCATACAAATCTAGGCTTCCTGGTGGACACCTTGGGCTCATTTATAGCGCTCGAAATGAAGACTCACTCGAACCATCCATCAAGAAATAACCTAAAGACTATAGTACACTCTGGCAAAGGAATGGTAATGTTATTTTTCCATCTGAACCATTGAGAGAGTTTCTGCTCTATGTAACTTAACATGAATGTTGTTGGTTACGTTAAAGTTCGGTGGACGTAACCATTCAAAAAAAGATAGTGTTAAGTAGACCGTCAAATTGTATATTCTTTGTGTTTGATTTGTATTAAATACGGATAAGATATGAAAATTAATTAGTACAATTATATCCATCAAACATAAAATATATATTTTTTATTTTTATCAAATTCATATGTAATTTTTATCAAAATTTTATATTGTATCTTTATCAAGTACAGTGTTAAGCACACGAAAGTGGTGTAGATGAGTTGAGTTGAGAGCTAAGTTTGGAGTTTTGGAGTAAGAAATACTGAAAGCTCTGAAACGTTCGCTTCTATGTGTTTGCAGAGAAACACAGATGCTGAACTGAAGAGAATGCAGAGCACATGTGACTCTCTTGTCGGATCAAGGAAAATAAATGGCAGCTTCTCTACTGGACTCTTTAGTTTTAGGATTATTCTTGTTAGCACAAAATAACCCCTTCCCTTCTTATGACTTGTGAGCATAGCTACTAGTAATTGCAATTTTGGATATAAATTGAAATTTCTTTGCTTATTTCCCTACTCTAATTATAGTAAAATGTGACAACATGACATTTGATTTAGCGTTTAATATATGATTTTACTAAAAAAATATGGTTGGAATTTCTGTTTTTCCAAATAAAACAAAAACTATAATTGTACTACAACTATAAAGAGGGCTTCTTCAGCTATAAAGACTATCTTAATTCTAGATTTTGATTTTATCTTTTAATTTGCAGCTTCTTTTCATTTCTTTCCATGAAGTTTGGGAGGGGTGAAAACCTAAAAGGAAAGAACAGAGAGTCAAAACCTGGATGGAGAATGGAAGAGAGCAGGGTTTCATCGAAGTTGGCAAAAGATGAAATAGTACCAGAATTTGAAGTGTCCAATCGGAGGCCACGGTAGATATTAGAAAGCAAAGCTATATCAGTTGGCTCATATATACACACACTTGCGCAACTGATGTCATTTCTGATCTCTTTATTTCATAAACTAAAAAGTTTTGGTAATTGATAATATAATAAAACAAGGCAAGAAGATAATGTTGTCAAAATGAATTCAGTCAAACTAGAAAAAGCTGTTAGATAACTTACTTTTGGAACATCAACTTATTTCTGCAACATCTTAGCATTGAGGAAAGATCGAGTGAAAACAAGTTCATGTCAGATAAAGATGCACGAGTGATATGGAACAGAGAAATTTGCAAATAATTAGCTGTAACCTGATGCAAAATTAACCACCACTGTATATAAGGAGATGCACAGGGACAATCAAGTTCAAGCTGACGGTAAACTAATGATCAAACAAAAGAAAATATCATGTTCCAAGTATATGAATGGTGGTAGAATTTACTGATGACGTGGTTTGACAGATTTTTCCGACAAATACTGAAAGCCCACAATGAATTCTGCAAGGTTACATCTTTTGCCCATGTAGGCTTCCATTATGTCCAGAGATACAACAATGCTTTTTCTGCCAAAGAAATCTAATGGACGATGGTTGTTGGAAACTGATAACTTGATAAGCTAATGAATGTGACCACTCTTTTCCAATATGTTGGTATACCTGGTCCGTCTAATTACAACCAAAATAAAAATCAACTTAAACCACCCAGTGATAGAAGTCCCATAGCATTGCTCACCCTGACAGAAAGAAATATCATATAAAGCATTATAAGACCCACTCCTAATATCTTGCTAGGCCGCATGTTGTTTCGAGGCAAAACTATAAGTGCCCAGAATAGTCCGGACATGAGAAACCCAATGGTATAAAACAAGCTGCTATCCTGTGGAACCAAGTATGAGGAAGGGCTCTCTGACCAAGCTCTGAGCAGCATTGAGATACCCAAACCAACAAGTGTGTTGAACATGGGACCTGCATAGCAGCCAGAAAAGGCAATCTGCACACCATCACCACCACCATTCATTGCCAATGCAACATTTGACACCAAATCACCCATTGAATTGCCCCACGCTAGAATAGTTACTCCAAGAATGGATGGATTAATCCCAAAAATCACACCAAATGCTACCAACAGAGCAACAAGCTCATTAGCAATGATATAAAACCACACAATGCTCATAAAAAATCCCCCTAATACCCAAGGAATTAAAAACCTCCGAGGTGGAAACTCAGATACAGTATTTTGATATGCAAAAATACCAAGAATGCAACCAACTGCAACACCAATAAGCCATGCGACCACTCGGCTCAGGGTGCCAACATCACCTTGGCTATTCCACAAAAATGCCAATAGAACCGGAGCCAATGAAGCACTAGCTACAGCATATGGTTTTGACCATGATTCCTGCTCAACTAGAGGAATTGTTAGCCGCCTTGGAGCTGTCAGTGGCAACTCGAGGAGCGATATTAATTTAGAACATGAGAATGATGAGTCATTAGTTTCCATGCCCTCCTCAGTCCAACCCCAAGGAGGCCTCTCTTCATCTAATGAACTGACCTTCATGAAGTGATTTGAATATATAGCAACATTTGAAGCCCACATCCACTGTGGCAGCGAACTAGGGAGTTGGGGTGGATCGTTTCCATTGTCCACATCAAGCAGAGAACTATATACGAAAACATCATCTTCGCTTCCTTGTGAAAACAGACTTCCTCGGACAGGAATCAATGGTGTAACAACATCCAACTTCAACCTCCGTGCATGCTTCCTCAAAATCTCATTTGCAGCCACAGAAAATGCATAAATCACGTATATCATGACAAATGCAATGGCACCCCCAACACTCATCTTACCAATTACCAATATCATCGTAAGTGATGAAAGCGTAAAGAGGAAGAAACAGATATCCCTAATAAAGCATCTTTTATCAATCTGGAACCCTTTCTGCGCTACGCAAAGGGAGACAGCCCCTACAACAACACAAGTAACAAAAACCGCACCACCCAACACGCTATTAAGACCCACTCCACCCGTATCCATCCCCAAAAACGCAGCTATACTCGCAAACACATCTGGTGCCCCGTTTCCCAACGGGAGGAGTGCAACCCCAGCAACAGTTGGAGGCATCCTAAGCAGATGTGAAAGCTTCTCCAATGAGCAGCAAAAGTAATCCGCTGCGGTGTTGCCCAACAGATAAAACAGAGCAGCAAGCCAAAAACCCAATATCACATAGCCCACTATCCTAAATTCTCCACAACCACAATAGAAAAACTTAATGTAATCAAAGAATCTATCCGAAGAACATTGTGGATTAGCTTTCAAGAACTCACATTGATTAGCAAAACCCTTATGATCAAGCAATCCAGTACATAAAGCAGGGTTGCTCAAGCTGACATTCAACTCATTCTGTTGACCATTCCTAGCTGCTAAATTTGATGAATTAACTTCAAGTTCACTAATTTGTCGACGAATTATACTAACATGATCAAACCCATCAGTTAAACCAGTTCCATGAGTCAAATTATCGCTAATAAGCCTAGATGATTGGCTAATATGAGGGTTTCTTAAGAAATCTGCCCGGGTGTAGAATAAGAAAAATAGAATAATAGCAGATAATCCATTAAATATCCCATGAAATTTGGGATTTTTTGAAGTATAAAGACAATTATTCCTCATTGATGACCCCTTATCTAAACTAAAACACCAAGCTTTTAAAAGAAATTTCGTAGAAGGTGGAATTAGACTAGGGTTTCTGCTAAGGAAACCCCAGCCTTTGAATTCCAAAGAGAAATTGAATACTTACAGATAATCAAAGAAAAAATCAAGGATTTCCCAGGGAAAATGGGGTTTGAAGATTTAAAGAGAGAACGAAATTTGATGGCTTTTTTTTTTTTGGTGGGTTGAAAAAGCTAGTTCGTTGAAGAAAAAGAAAACCAGGAAAGAAGAGAGAAATTGGTTGGCAATTTCTTAAAATTTATTATTATTATTTTTTAAACGGACCTAACCCCTACAATGGAATACACGTGCGTTTTTGTTCGTTGTTTGACAAAAATGGATCAGTATTGAAATCTAATCATATAAACCTCCAATACTCCACGGCTCTTTTCGCATATCTCTCCTTCGAATCATCATAAACCAAAACCAAAACCTCAGGTCTCTGTCTTAGCTCCTTTACTTAATGCACCTATCTCTCTCTTTACTAAACATAAAAAATTCAAAGCTACTCCTTCATTGCAAAAGAGGAAGAGTGCTTCCCTATTCTTTTTCTAAAGTTCAAGATTTTAGCTTTCTTTCTCTCTCTTCTGTTTGGTAGGCAAGAAAATCTATGAGAAAGCTAAGTAAAAAAGACCAAATTCATGATGAATTATCAAAAGGGCGTATGAAAGCCTTCTTTTTGCGCTTTGTTTATTGAGTTTTTTGGGCTATATTCTGGTTGGATTTTATAGTAAGGTTAGTGTGTGTGCGCCAAACATTGCTATATTATAGTATTTATGTTAACTCTACACCATTTCAAGAAATTTTTTAGATGAATATCTGTTTCATAGAAGAAATCATTGTTGACAAATGTGACTGTGGCTAAAAAGCTCTCTTTTCTTTTAGTAATTTATTCCTTCTTCTATAGTTAAAGTTTTAATTGTGTTTCTTCTATTTATTCCATGATTTGTCGTGATATAAGTTAAGTATGCTTTGTAATTGTCACAGTATTATAGATCTTTTACATCAAAAATTCTTGTAGAATTATCAAATAAATCATTGATTCACTATTTTAGTCAAAGAAAAGTTATTATATTAAAATCTTATTGAAATAAGCTACTGTAATGAAAGAGATATCTCTATAAAAGTCAAACCACCAGTTCGATGTTAAGCCAAGAGGGCGCAAGAGTCTTAAATATCGATTAGAATATTTGGTTATATGTCTGATCTATGAACTGCTTATGTTTAGTATTATCTTGTTAGGGTAATCGATCATTCGTTGTGTTGCAGGTATTAGGACTCCATCCTCGGAGAGCCTAGAACTGAACACGTCAGTTACGTTAGTCTAGGACATCTATACCCTGCTTGTTAGAATGGTACCAGAGCTAGTTTGACAAGTGAGTTATAAATTATCGGAATCATAATCAAGGGTTCTCACTGTGTGATCTGTGGTAAAGCATTGGCTCTTACCCTGACATGGCCAGCCAGGTTAGCCACCTGTGCAGTTGATAAGTCGGGAGACTTATCAAAAACTAGTGTTTGAGGTACCTATAGAGGTCACGCAACAAAATCGATATTGACTTTATGTCTGAAAAGCTCAGATTTCTTTGATACCATTTTAACAAGAGAATTTTGGGCTTTCCAAAAGAGTCAAGACTGGTTTTGTCGAGTGGCCTCTATGGGTACCTCAGACGCTAGTTTTCAATAAGCCTTTTGACCTATCAACCTCACATGTGGCTAACTTGCCTGGCCATGTCAAGGTAAGAGCTAATGCTTCACCACAGATCACACTGTGAGAACCTCTGATCATGATTTTGATAGTTTATAGCCTTTTTGTCAAACTAGCTTTGATACCATTCTAACAAGTAGGGTAGAAATGTCCTAGACTCGCATAATTGATGGGTTCAATTCTGGGCTCTCCGGGGATGGAGTCCTAACAAAATTACCTGTAACACAGCAAAAGATCGATTGCCCTAACAAGATAATACCAAACATAAGCAGTCTATAAATCAGACATATAACCAAGGTATTCTAGTTGGTGTTTAAGACTATTGCATTCTTTTACTTAACGTCAAACTGGTGGCCTGACTTTTATGAAGATATGTCTTTCACTATAGTAGCTTATTTCAATAAAATCTTAGTACAATAACTTTTTTTTAACTTAGAAAGTGGATCAACCTCAGTTTCAGATTTAGACTTAGATGAATTTACAGATGATCAATGCTACGAGTATATGTCAGTTTAAGAATTTCAAAAAATCCAAATCCTCCAACCTCCAAAATTGCCTCTTGCTCTAATTTAGATTTTCACTCATAAACACTCTCTTCCCATAATAGTTACTACATTTTTTGATACTGGTTAGCCCAAACCATAGCAAATCCCATTGTCTTACCCAAAACCCTTTGGAAAAAACAAAAAACCTTATTTAAGATCACTGATAAAAATTTATTTTCTACAAACTTTATTAGTAACCCTGTTACCCTTTAGATTTTTTCAGGTTGTCAAATAACCCAAAAAAATTTTAGAAATCCACTTTCTCAAAAAGACCTTGTTATTGGTTTTGATATCATAACCAGTATACCATGTTTAAGACTTAATGAAAAAGGTATAAAGTTTGAAAGTTATTTCAGACCTTGGAAAAACTTTCCCAACCTTTTTACCCTATCCATTCAACCAAATGTCTTCTAGGAATTTAGACAAAAATTCATTCATTTTTTCTGTGTAAAAAATCATTCAGAATTCCTTTAGAAATGCAATCACCCTCTTTGAAAAAACCTTGAATTTTTTATTACCCTTCCTTTAAAAAAAGATGAAAATGCCAACCTCACAAAAGCTAATCATTCAAGCATGAACCTAGATAATTTTAAGCTAGCAACCCAAGAATGTTCTCTTTTCTAGGCTCAAGGATTAATTGAAAACCTCTTCTCCATAGGTGTTGTAGACACTCATCTGTGTTTGGAGTCAATCGGATCGCGTCTGGGCATAATTGGACCATGTTTTATTATTTTTTATATTATATTATAATAATATTATTATCATATTATATTATCATATTACTATTATTATTAGTATATTATATGGTATTATATCATATTACTATTATTATTATTATTTTCTTTTTTCTTGAGCTGTGATAGGAATTTTGGAAACAGAAGAATTGAATATCCAGAATCAAAGGGATCTAATGTCCAGCAATCAAACGTTTAATTTGTGATCAGTTTCAGATTCAATCCAAACATATTACTGAAATCTAGCCTAAAATCATGTTTGAACAAAATTCAATCCTAAGCTTCAAGCCTGGATGGATTTTGTTAGATCTAAAATTCTTATTACAAGATGCCTATAAATTGGACTGTTTCCAAAACACACGAAAAGGTGAATTTGGATTACATAGTGAAAGTTGAAAAAATTTTAGAAATAGATATTTGGGTAGTAAGGTTCTAGATTTTGATTTGGAAAATTTTTGGAAATACTAAAAATTTTGGATATAGAGTTAGGTTTTTGGGGTCTAGTTTTAGGTTTTTGGAGCTGAGATTGAATTTCAGGAATAGTTCTAAAGAAATCTGGAAAATCTAAAATTTTGTTGTTGTTTCTAGGAAAAATCTGGGTTGAAGGATGAATTTTTAATTTTTCGATGGTCCGTTGAATTTTCGATCAAATTTCAATCAAATTTCAAAAACCAACGACAAACCCAGTTTTCGGTTGCATTTTTAAAAGAAATTCTAAAGAGAAGAGAAAGAGTTTCGGCTTAGAGAGAGAAGAGGTAGGGGAATTTTAAGGTTAAAACGCGAAATGTGACATTTATACTGACTTAAAACGGTGTCGTTTTGACAATGTAGGATCCGTGTAAACCTGAGTAAGATTTACGCGTTAACCCACACTCTGACCCAATCCGATCGTAAGTTTTTTTTTTCTATTTTATTTTTATTTTTTGATTTTATTTTTTTAGCTCATTTTATTTTTAGTATTTTTATTTTTTTTATTTTTGAGAAATTTTATTATTTTTTAAAAATATTTTTGCTACTTTATTTTTTGAAAATAAATAAGTTTTTTTAAAAAAAGAAAAAAAATTTAACTATATAAAAAAACCTTTTTTCAAATAAGTCAAAAAAAATCTTTTTGGAAAATAAAAAAATAAAGAATAAAAAAAAGACTTTTCAAATAAGTTTAATAAATAAAAAATAAAATAAAAACAAAAAAATAAAAAAAAAAAATCTTTTCAAATAAGTTTTCAAAAAATGTATAAAAATAAAAAAAATCCTTTCAATAATAAAAAAATCTTTTTCAAATAAAAATCCTTACAAATAAATTTATGAATTTTACTAAATTATCAAAGAATTTTCATGGATTTAATTTTTTAAAATGTAATCCACCAAACTATTGAAAAATTTTAAAAATCATTTTTTTAAAAAAGTAATAAAAAATAATTTTTATCCTCCAAACTATTAGAGGACTACTTCCTAAATTAAGTTTTACCAAGCTATTAGGAGACTTAATGAAATTCTTAAAAAAAATTTTACAAATTTTTTTATAATAAAATCTCACCAAAATTTTGATAGATCTGCTTCAAAGTAAGTCATACTAAACTATTGAAAAACTTTATTAATTTTTTTGAAATAAAATAAATTAATAAATCTGACAATGAAACCTCTTTAAAGCGGGATCCTAGTCTCTATAAATATTCTTGAGGTGAAAGAATTATCTTAAATTGTTACCAAACTATTGGGATAATTTTAAGATTAATTTTTAATATTAAATAATTTGATAACTTATAAATATGATCAAGGCTTGGATAATCTGAAATAAATTAATACCATCCTTTGTATGGGTGCTATGTGAGTGATATAATATTTCTCACACATAATTATACTCTCAAACATAAACTCTGATTTCGTATATCAAGATCTACTATTTAAATATATCCAAGTCAGTCTTAAGACTCCTCTTTAAATATGACATATTCATTAGGTGGTCAATCACACCTAAATAAAAAAAAAATTGATGGCGACTCCTTTAATTCATGTCTAGTAGTAGGTCTACGAATTTATACATTATGACAATTTGAAACTCCACTAGGGACATCAAGAGTCAAGCCAGGAAAAGATTTCTTATTATCCAAGCCTTGCTTAATAAATTTGTTTTTTTTTTAAACCTTATACTTGCTTAATTATTTATTTATTTCTTTTCATTACTTATACTTGCTCAATTATTTATTTATTTATTTTTATTGTATTTGTTATTTATTTGTATGTGCATAACATGAGTTCTCCACCTGA